GGGGGGGGGGGGGGGGGGGAGGGGGTGCGAGGGCACCCGTCGAACCCTCCCTTCCTACGGGCCTGCTTATTTAAGTCAGTGTGAAGTGAAGCTATACAGTAAGCCACGTGCAGTCATACACTGCCTATTTTTTATATTTGTTTTAGATCACCCTCATGACTGAGATATTATTTAAACAATTTAAACAGAGAGCATCGAACCTTTCCTTCAAATGAACATACAAACATTTAAAACTGATAGACTTGGATATCAATACAGTTTGGATAAAAAGTCTGACGTCTTTTCTTAACATATCAATAGGATGTTTTCAAGGTCAGTCTTATTTCAAGAAAATAACCTTATTGGCACTGAAGTCACAAACTAAAATACGACCATCAGGCATTGTAGCCATACCCCATGGCCATGTTAACTTGGTAACAGTTTTCCCAATAAATTGACCCTCTATAGTGAACTGTTGCACGCGACCACTGTCTTTGTCACTGACCAAAATATTTCCATGTTGGTCTACACACACTCCATACGGCTTTAAAAACTGTCCGTCTGCATTGCCTTTTTCTCCAATCTTACGCAGAAAGTTCCCTGAAGAATTAAATACTTTCAAACAGCTGTTCAAACTATCAGCAACTATAAACATGTTTTTGTAACAGACACAGCCCACAGGATTGTTAAGTTTTTCCGGGCCGCTATCTCCAAATATCAAAATGGGTGCACCATCCCTTGTCAAAACCTGAACGCGGTGGTTGTTAAAGTCAGATACAATTATGCGTCCTTCATCATCCATACAAACACTTGTTGGATACTTAAAATTCCCATCTTCATTCCCATACTGTCCAAAGCTGTTTACAAAGTTCTGCGCCGAGTGCACGTTGAACTGCTGTACTCGGTGATTCGATTCATCTGTCACTAGAATCTCATCATCATTAATGAATGTCACGCCAACTGGACCGCTCAGTTGCCCAGGATCCTCCCCCTTACAACCCATTTGTCGCACAATCTTTCCTTCTTTATCACATACTAGAATACAGTTCTTCTCATGGTCTGCTATGGTAATTAATCCTTTGCCGTTTACTGCAATACCAATTGGCTTTTGCAGAGTTTTATCATCTTGCAAGTGTAACTCACCATCAAATTCCAGCTTTCTTTTCTGCACCTTAAAAGTGAAGGGACTTTGAGAAAGGCTGTCGCCATTTATCTTTGCTGAGATGTGGTAAACACCCGGCAGTTTAGGAACAAATTTCACCCGGAAATTTGTGTCTGCCTCATCATCCCCTTCGTTGATGATCAAACTTGCCAGTTGGTCAGAAGGTTCCACTTGAACCTCGACATGATCCTCATGTTGTTTGTTACTGATCTGTCCTTCGCTTGTCTTTGGGCAAATCGAAATCTCTGCTTCAACGCCAGCTTGGAAAGTTTGTTTCAGTCCTTCAATTGTTGATTTGTTTGGGTCTGTCTCGGTTAATTTTATTATGCCGAGACTCAAAGTATCTAGCTTACAAGTTGACACGAACTTTACAAACGAACCAGCAGGCAGGGCGGGCATTTGAGTTTTACGAAGCTCTTCAAATCGTTCCTGCAAATTCCTTCTGTTTCCTATAATGTCTGCATTCGAACTTCTCTGAACCAGTTCACTTGCAAACTCTGCTGCTTGTTTGATCTGTTTTTCTAGCTGTTGAACTTGTTTCTTTACGGCATTCAGTTTCTGCATTCGTGACACGCTTGTGTTCTCGAGCGTGGTAATTGCCTCGCGCTCGCGTTCGTGAATCACAGCGATCATTTGCTCGGCTGATTGAGACACTTGGCGTTTAGCGGTTGCCATGTTAGCTTCAAGATTGGCTGCTGTCTCCTCGAATTGACCGATAATGTCTCTGCAAGTTTGGTGTTTTTGCTTCATCAACTCAACTCCCGCCAAAATTTTAGCTCTTTCTTCATCCGCTGCAGTTTCTAGCAGCTCGATTTCATGAGTCTTGTGATTCATGTAAATGCATATTTGACAAATACAAGTTTGGCAGACGCGACAGTAAAATCTGGTTACTTCTTTCTCGTGGTACTTCTCAGTGCAGAATGCCTTTCGCTTTAACAAGGCTTCGTAATCTTCTGATTGAAACTGTTTGACTTTGGTCACCTTGTGTCCAGCGAATGCAGCTTCTCTAAACACCTCGTGAGCGTTCAGACAGTCGCAACATAGCATTTTTTCGCATTCAAAACAATAGCTTGCTTCGTCCTTCTTCTTCTTGCAAAATCCGCACGTGATATCATTTCCATCGCCACTTTGTTGAACAGCGAGAAGACTGAGCAAGCTGTTATGGAGGAAACTAGTCGGTAACTGATCGAATCTGTTCCCTTCGGGAATGGCAATTTGTGTCTGGCATTCGGGGCAGCGAAACTGACCATCTCTCTGACTCATAAGCGCGTGTTTCTTCAGACATTCACAGCAGAAAGTGTGAAGACACGCTATGGTTTTCGGCCCGGTGAAATTATCCAAGCAAATCGAACAGTCGACATGTTTTTTGAAGTTTTTTAGGAGAGACTCCATCGCAAAGTTTAAATGCAAAGCAGACAATGCCTTGTTTGTCGAGCAGAGAGCAATTTGTGAAACACACCTTTCGATTCTATTGTTAGTCGATTGCGAGAATCTTTAGTCTGGGCATTCATAACAACACGTACGGCACATAGTGGTTTATTTTTACCGACCAACCAGAAGATTTGTACTTGACCCTGGTCTCATGCAAGCGATCGGTTGCTAAGTATCCATGACGTAAACCCTAGCAGAGTCCTAGCAGACTATCACTAATCAGCACTCCTTTCACACACACCTCAAAGCTTTCTTTGTAGGCACCTTTCGGTAAATTACAAAAAAGTTCAATCTAAAATGGAAATGGATGAAATAACTCGGGCCTGCAAGTTCTGTTACAAACATGTTAAATTCTCAGGAATGAAAAACTCTTAAATAGGCCCCCTAGATTTAAAAACCTTCAGACAAACAAAATAACCAAGAAGGTCAGTTTTGACGACTGTTTCACTCAGTGTTCATCACCAGACCTCTGTCTCCGGGTTTTGACACGAACAACTCGTGAATATAACCCCGTACGCCGCCGTTTTAACGATACAGTGAAACCCGTATTAAGCAGACACCCTCTATTAACCGGACACTAGCCGAAGTCCCCAAATTTATTTCCCTTATTTACTTTAAGTGAAACCTTTATTAAGCGGACACCTCTATTAAGCGGACGCGGACACCTAAAAAGTACCTGAAATGGTCATTTCTATTGTTGTCAACCTGTATTAAGTGTTATTGTCAGAGAAAACCGGGCAGGAGCAAAAGATCGAGGTCGGCGTTTGACCTCCACCTTTTTACCATAGGAAAGCCACCTGAAAAGATTATCAACGGTGGTATTTTCAGAAGTTGGTGGGTTTTTTTAATTTGAAGATAAAAATTTTCTTGAAAGCAGGGCCTTTCACAGGCATGAAATGGCTTGATTTTCGGCCAACTTTTGTTGAACCTATATAAAATAACACGAAGCGAAAAAAAATTGCCTTTCTTTTTTTGACAGCTTTAACCTTTTATAAACCGATTGAAATATCATTTTCAATACTTGTCCCAGTTCCATGTCTTTCATGCCGCACTTGATATTACCGCCAAGTCGTTAATGAACCACACCCAGATTTCTGCCATTTTCACACTGTTATTTTCTCAAAAGTGCGGGGTTTATTTTTAAAGAAAGTTACTTTTCTTGATAGCCTATTAAAGCTTTGCTAAAATGCAGCAAACTTAAAAATGGTATCTCTCAGTAACTCGGAATTACTAACTTGGAAAGTTCCACTAAAATAGCGTGAAAATTTTCACCAACGAATTTTTTTTCCATCAACTTCTCTCGGCATTGAGCTCACACATCCTCAGCAGGGTCTTCAAGAAGGTGATCAGGTTGAATATCTTTCACTTGTTAGTGGCTTTTAGATTGTAATTTTGATAAAGTCCCCATTTAATTTTAAAAAAAAGATATCAACTGATGGAATGAAATTGGCCCAATTTTCCCGCGAAATCTTTTTTTTTTTTCGTGTCACACTACATCGAACCCCTGTGAATTTATTCGACGTTACTTTGTCTATCTTTGCTGAACAATACTATTAGTAAAATGATAAGAAGAAAAATCCAAAATTTGAGTTTAATTACTGACGTCTACCGAAAAACTGTTGTTTACATAATACCGTGATAAGATCAGTGCGTTTTAACTTGCATGTAGGATATATTTAATTTGTCATGTAAGCCTTCCGACGAGAAACTGCCTGCTTTGCTGGATAATGGTTAGCTTAAATCTTTCATCATAAATTGTTCGTTTTCAACGGAAGAATCGTCGTGTTCTGAGAGTGGAGTTGGATCCGATATTCGGCGTCCACTTGGGGTGCAAACAAGATATGACCTCGCGCCTTGTCAGTCTTGGAATAAGTGGAAAGCGTGGTCGAGGAGAAGCAGAAGTAAGCGAATCAGAACTGATTCTAAACCGGGCGGAACATATTGGTATTTTAAGAGAAGAAGAAAAAGAGGCTCTTACCATTAGCCCAAAACATAGAAAACACTGAACTACCGACTGGCCTGGCCGTAAGAATTACTGACATTTGCTGTTACCCGGGTCATCAAGGGTTGAAGAGGTGACTTAGTCCCCCTAGACGTGTTAACGCAAAAATGTCTGCAGAAATATTTGTTGAGTTCAAGGAGAGTGTTCCTATCGGGGCAGGTGAGTGAAGACTTCTTTTTTCAGTCAATTCTGGCATACTCACAGGGGCGGATCCAGGATTTTTTTTAGGAGGGGGTGCACTCGTCTCTTGCTCTACTTCAACACCAATAAACCACATAGTTTCTTTTTTTTTTGCAGAATACCAATTGTATTAGAAAACCAAAGGTCATCTCAGGGGAGGGTGCGCGCCCCCTGCACCCTCCCCCTAGATCCGCCCCTGACTCACGTGCGGGTTAGGCTATGGGACGTCTGATACGTGCGGTTCATTGCACTGTTCATTCATGTCTTCAGTTACACTAGTTTTTAGAGGCATGTAATGTTGAACAAAAGTAAACGGCTTAAAACCATGGAATGACGATTCACTAATATTATACGAGGTACAAAACATCAATGCCAATGAAATAAAAAATGCCAGTACAATAAAGCGAAGCTGATAAATTTTACGCTTATCAAAAACCAATCTTATTTTAAAGTTGTTTGCGCACGTGCTCTATTAAGTCTGCGAATTATGCCTCATATAAAAATTGGGCTAGTGAGTTGCTAGTGAGAGTATTATCAGTTTTAATATATAGAAAACGTTTTACAAAAACTTTGAAGTAAACATGTATTATTTTAATATAAAAATTAAGAAGAAAAATACCATTGGCTTAGCAAAAAGAACTGTGATATTCTTGCATTGTTCATTTCCAGTAAAAGTGTCTGGGAGGGAGGGTAAGGGGCGTAGCACTTTGTGATGAGTGGGCTGCGATTCTGATTGTTTTCTGTTGTTGTTTACTCTTGATAGCGATCTGCACAAATTGTAGGCTGGAACACTATAAAATACGCGAGAAAAGTGATTTTGATCTACATTTGAATGAAGGCATGGAACAGGTCAGCAATGGGCCGTTTGAACGATGATGTCTTTTTATTAATAAGGCCAGAATTAATTTCGTCTTTCCTTTCATATTTAAATTTGGTAGCCCCAGTGAGGTTTAATTAACAAAAGCCTTAATTTGCATTAGAAAGCAATACCCTGAAGGATTTTGGTCGTAGTAGTAAAATAGTAAAATAGTAAAATAGTCGTAGTAGTAAATCGTGCAAACGGCCTATAGCATTGTATATACTCGAGTCCTGAACGAAAGCTAGGGTTGACTCACTAATTACTTGAGTTTACTAGATGAAGTTTACATTATATACAGATTATATAGTTGGAACTGTCGATGAAATTAAAACTGGAGAAAAATGTGATATTTACAATGATAGAAACACGTGAACGGAGGGATTTGAACCAGGGCGGATAACCTTTATCCGCCCTGATTTGAACCCATGCAGTCCCAGAAGACCGGTCCGATTCCCTAAATTCTAATCCAAGGGGGATAGCCAAGTCCAGGTTGGTGTAAATTTTGTTTTCACAAGAAATCTTCGTGAAAAATTTGACATCACGGAACTCAAAACCGCGGTGACCCCATCTTGAAAATGCGATAATCCTACAAAATGAAGCAAACATTTTCTTCTTTGATGGGTTGCTGCATATTTTACGCTTTAGTTTACATTATGTATTTTCTGGGGAATAACTTAAGTGGAGTTTACACCTAATTGCAATAAGGTTGTCATAGAAAAAAGCAAAAAAGCAAAAAGCAAAAAGTTAAATAGGAATTAATTAGCATGTAATTATCATAGCTTTCAACATTCACAACACACACGCTTACAGCTGAATATTAATCACGTAATATGAGAGAAATCATTTGCATCAGTTTCTTACTGTCATTCTCATGCAATTCAAGGCTGAATCATCTAGCGAATTTCATACGTGCTCGAATTACAAAGCACATCGGATAACTACCAAAGCCTGGGGTAAATTCCAGGAACTCAACGCGTGTTTTAGATTAGTGCTAAATAGAAAAGCCAGTCTGCGTATGGTTTGCAGTGCACAACACCATCTGATCACAATTTTCAAGCAACAAATCAGGGGCGTAGGCAGGACTTTTCATTGTGGAGAGGGTGAGGGGGTCCTCCGCCAGTTCCTCACCTGAGCCACAAACCAAGCTTCGTTTGTCAGGACATAAAAGATTGGCAACTGAACGTGCGACAACTGAGACATAACATTGCTCGCGTCAATTTACCTTTTTCTTTCTCGAATTGTGCGACTTCTTTTGATGGAGAATGTTGGCTCTGAAATGACTATGGCGCCTGTTTATCTTACAGCGCGGAATTACAGAATCATCTCTTGCAATTGTAAATGAATTCTTAAATAATTGTTAAATACTGAATTAAAATACGCAAATGTAAATCACATGGCTAATTTATTCCTATTTGGCTTTTTTGCTTTTTGTTTTTTTTTCTATGACAACGTTATTGCAATTAGGCGTATGTGGTAATGACTAGTTTGTGAAGAACATGAGTTCGTTTGCATGAGTTAAGGTGTGCATAATGAATAACGTTATAGCCTGGGTCTATGCTCCGCAGTGGAAGGTAGAGGCAAAAAACGAAGTGAAACAGGGCGCCATCCTTTCCCCATCCCAGACTACCGCTCAGCTCGCTTCACTCGTCGATTTTTTTTTTTTGCCCTTGCTGATTTATTTTTCGCCTTTTTCCGCCACTGATGAACCCTGTACCAGGCTACTGATGTTAGGATTCATTAGTCCACTACCTGGTTCAAGGGATGTCATCAAATAGTTTGCTATTATCTAGGGCCAATAGTGAAACTTCAGAATAGGAGAAGTGCTTACAGTGCAAATACGTATAAACGCAGTATAATAAAGGCGGAGATGGTCAGTTCGTCTCAAAGAACTCAACTATCGGACCAAGGCTCGGCTGGTAATGGTTATTCATCATCTAACTATTGTTTTACAGGAAGCTGCTGTATAGTCTTCTTCTCTTGATTCCAGATTTCGGGACATATTAAAGAAGATCGATGAGTTAGTCATCAGAGACGAAAACGAAACGAAAGCAAGAATAGACTTCGAAAATAAAGAGTGCTTTCGAGCAGTTCAAGCCTGGAAAGCACATTTGCTTCGTTCTGTTAATCAAGAAGAAGCAAAACAGAACGCTCTTACTCAGATTGACGAAGAATCAAGCCTCATCGATTATCATAGACTGGGCGATGAAATATCTGCCATAGCACTGCTTGAAGTCTTACATTTGGGTTACATATATTATGAGGCAAAAGCAAGTGAAAAAGCATTAAAAAAGGTCATAATAGTTTGTACCACTAGAGACAAAACAAGACGGCTAGTCTGATATATTTATCTTTTTACCTTACTGAAGGTCGAACTTTGCGGAGAATAAATCCGCGGGGATTCACTGCAGCGTGTCACATAAATATTTTTTTGGCGGAAAAAAATTCCGTTTTGTATAAGGGGTGTTTCAAGAGGTTAAACGCTTACCTGTGTCGATTTTTAGACGTAAATACTCTTCCACAGGTAATTAAACAACCTGATTATCTCGATCTAGTAAATTTTCGACTTACCGTTCAGACAAATATTTTTATATGTTATTTCTTCTCTGAAAATTTCGCGGGAAAAATTTCTGCTTGATGGCATTTTAGTGTTACTTTCGACGCCGGCCATAGCAATTTACCTAAAGATACCAATTTTAAGTTTGCTGTATTTTAATAAAGGTACAACAGGCTATTGGTACAATAATTTTCTTTAAAAATGAACCACGCACGTTTGAAAAACACCACTGCGAAAATGGCCAAAATTTGGCCCACATTCGTTATCAGTTCGGTGCTAATATTAAGTGCGACATTGAAAACATAGAGTTAAGCCCAAGAAAGATTGTTATACTTCAATCAGTTTACTGTTGGTTGGAGATGTGAAAAAATGTATGGCAAGGTTTTCTCACTTTTTGCTTTCTTTCATGTAGGTTCGACAAGAGTTGGCCGAAAATCAAGCTTTTTTAGGCCCGTGTAGGGCCCTGATTTTAAGAAAGGGTGGCCGCTTAATACAGGTTTCACTGTATTCATTTAGTATTGTCACCTGGCTACTTTGAAGACAATCATTTCGGTGATGAAGGCCTGTTTATAAGGCACAAAGCTAATATACTTTTTGAAAATGAGCGTTTTTGAACTTGAAATAAACTGACTGCACTGCACTAGTGAAGAACCAATAAAAGTATTATTGAAAATCATAGGAACAATCAAGACATCCCCTAGCCTGCAGTGCAGGCGTATTTCGGGTGGGCGAAACCTTGTTCGTGTTCGTATTGTTGTAGCTGCCATCAATGTAAGATTGGGGAGAGTACAAATAGTAACCCTAAGGGTAGGTGCTAGGGCGAATAAAGGAAGGGGGGGAGGGGTGCTTGTTTCAAACTGAGAGGTCATGATACGCTTATTGATTTTCAGTGGTTTTTGGATTTCTGGTCTTCATGATTAGCCCTCTGACGCGACAGCGTTTTCTTTGACCTCTTTTAAAGAGTAAAGCTCTTTTTTGTGGCTAAATAAGGCTGTTAGGTTCTTTATTTTGTCCAAAGTGCCTCAGCAATAATAATAATAAGAAGAATAACTAAGCGATTTTCTTTCTAGTCCGAGAATGTGATGTTTTCGTGCAATGTTGTATCACACTGGGCTCAGCTCGTTAGTTTTTTAATTTGTTTGTAGGATTTTAAACTCTCACGGATAGCGATTTACAGATATGAATTTAGAAGAATAAATGGCAGCTTGAACTGAAGCTTCATCAGCTGTGGAGAATTACATTGTGACTCAGTCAAGATAAAAACAATGATAAACTCCAGCTTGTTTTTCTTAAGACAATGCTAGTCTTCGGACTGGAGTGACTGTTTTGTTGTTTTGTTATTGTCGACTACTCTCTTCGGGAAGAGCGGTCTCGCGCGACTAATTAGGGGTGTTTATCATTTTCACAGTGTTTTCGGGCAGGCGTTTTCTCTTCTCTCTCCCCGTCCCCTCCCCGCTCCCTTTGACTCGCCCTATTTCCTACTCTCTTCGGTTTCTACATGGCGCTTTCGCGAGTAAAAACATTTGCGCGCCCGAAGAAAACGCCTGCACTGCAGGCTAGATATCCCAATGAACAAAAATGTTATGGCAATCAATAAAAGTCTTTTTTTTAAACTTGGAATAAACTGACTGCACTGTATTAGTGAAGAATTAGTAATAGTATTAATAAAAATCATGAGTGCAATCAAGACATCCCCTAAACAAAAATATTATGGGGATCAATAAAAGTCTTTTTTTAATAGGTGTGTCTTTAGTGCTGGCTTAAAACAAAATAAAAAGCTAAAATAATTCAAAACACCAGTTTTCCTGATATCGACTTTTTTGCCAAAGTTTAACGTGAATAGTAACTTGCAAAATTTATCGTTCGGACATATCATTCTCGCACTCGGCAAGTTTATTTATTTTCGCTCAAAGCTGAAAAAAAAAAAAATGCCGTTGGGATTCGCGTATGTTCCTCTCTCCCTCGCGCACCACTTATCATCTCGAGCTCATACCACACCTGCTACGACCAAATTTCTCGTGCGCCACCGCCATTACGAAAAGGTCTTGAATGGTCGCTTTCTATTTAAGAAAAATGATCCTCCCTGTCAGTGATTCGGCTGTCAAGAATCGACCGTCAGACATGGTGGCCACCCCCGATGGTCCTTTAAGCTTGAAGCTAGCTCCAGTGAAGCAACCTTTAATATTGAATTGTTTGACGTCACCACTGTCTTTGTCGCTGACCACGAGATTTTCATATTTGTCTACGCACAATCTCCACGGTCTTAAAAAGTGCCCAGCTCCTTCACCTTTTTTTCCAATCTTACGTAAAAATTTTCCTGAACAATCAAACACTTTTAAACAACCATTTGCACTGTCGGCAACAATAAAGGTGTTCTTGTAATAGACGCAGCCGACAGGAAAGCAGAGTTTTTCTGGGCCTCTATCTCCAAATTTCAACACAGGAATACCATCCTTTGTTAGCACCTGTACCCGGTGGTTGTTATATTCAGCTACAATAACATGTCCTTTCCCATCCATACAGACACTGACAGGATGCCGAAACTCTCCGTCTCCTGTACCATATCGTCCAAAGCTGTTCACAAAGTTCCCTGAATGCACATTAAACTGCTGTATTCGGTGATTACATTCATCTGCTATTAGGATCTCATCATCGTTCATGAATGTTACATCAATGGGACTGTTCAGCTCTCCCGGATTGTCCCCATAGCAACCAACTAATCGATTAAACTTTCCTCTGCTGTCAAACACCAGAAAACAGTGTTTGGAATAGTCTGCTACGGCAATTAATCCCTTACCACTTACAGCAACACCAGCTGGAATTTTCATACTTTCATTTTTCAAGTCTAACTCGCCCACAATTTCAAGTTTGCGTTCCTGTATCCTTATAGTGAAGGGACTCTGATCAAGGTTGTCGCCGGTTATCTTTGTCGAAATGTTGTAAGAACCTGGAAGTTTAGGAACAAATTTAACCTGGAATTTCCCCCCTGCCTGTTCTTTGACAATCAAACTTGCCAGTTGTTCAGCAGGATCAACTTGAACTTCAACGTGATCTTCAGGTTGTCGGTTACTGAATTGCCCCTCGCGTGTTTGAGAGCAAATTGATATCTCTGCTTCTACTCCAGCTTGGAAAGTTTGTTTCAGTCCTTCAATTGTTGATCTAATTGGGTTTGTCTCGGAACGGGATCTTATTTTGCCGAGGCTCACATTATCTAGCTCACAAGTTGAAACGAACTTTACAAACGAATTAGCTGGGATTTTTGGAAACTGAGTTTTGCCAAGCTCTTCTAATCGTTCCTCTAAATTCCCTTTACTTCTCATTATATCTGCACTTGAACTTCTCTGCGCCAACTCAGTCGCAAACTCTGCTGCTTGTTTAAACTGTTTTTCCAACTGTTGAACCTGTTTCTTCACTTCATCCAATTTTTGCTTTCGTGACACGCGTGTGTTCTCGAGCGTAGTAATTGTCTCGCGCTCGCGTTCGCGAATCACAGTGATCATTTGCTTCGCTGATTGAGACACTTGGCGTTTAGCCCTTGCGATATTAGCTTCAAGATTGGCGGCTGTCTCCTCTAATTGACGGATAATGTCGCTGCTTGCTTGGTGTTTTTGTTTTATTGACTCAACTCCCGCCAAGATTTTGGCTCTTTCTTCATCCGCTGCCTTGTCGAGCAGCTCTATTTCATGAGTCTTGTGTTCCATACTTAAGCATATTTGACAAATACAAGTTTCGCAGACGCGACAGTAAAACCTTGTTACCTCTTTCTCGTGGTACTTCTCAGCGCAGAATGCCTTTCTCTTTAACAAAGCTTCGTAATCTTCTACTTGAAACTGTTTGACCGACGTTACCTTGTGTCCTGAGAAAGCTGTAGTTTGAAACATCTCATGCGCCTGGAGACACCCTTGACAAAGCAACATCTCGCAGCCGAAACAATAACTTAATTCAGCGCTCTTTTTCGTGCAAACTTTGCAACTGATCTGACTTCCATCGCCACTTTGCTGAAAAGCGAGAAGGCTTAATAAGCTGTTGTGCAGAAAACTGGTCGGTAACTGATCGAATCTGTCTCCTTCGGGAATGGCAATTTGTGTCAGGCATTCAGGGCAGCGAAACTGACCATCTCTCTGACTCGTAAGCGCATGTTTCTTCAGACATTCACAGCAGAAAGTGTGAAGACACGCTATGGTTTTCGGCTCGGTGAAACTTTCTAAGCAAATCGAACACTCAACGTACTTTTTGAGGTTTTTTAGCAGAGCCTCCATCTCGAAACGAACAGCAGTGACAGTTTTTAATTTCCTCTAATTGTCAGTCGATTCCGAGAATCGTTTGCAACAGTTAACATGACCCTGCGGCCTCAGCTGCTAAGTTTCCATGACGTTAACCCCATCAGCGAATATTGTTTTTGACTATCAATGCAGAAATGAAAATTGGAACTTTAGAGTCCGGCTCACATTGGACACTATGGAATTAAGCTCTAGTAATTGAACTAAAATCAAGTCAATGCATAGTTGCAAACATTTTTTCCGGCATTGTTTCAGGGTTTTGCCTTACATAGTAGCCTATAATTTCTCTTCTAATATAGAGCTTTTTTACAGAATTTAAAGTTGATTATCCCAATAAACATCCTAGTTCTTTACCGAATAGGAATGGCCTCACAGCATATGCCATCACAAGAGATATTTCACATACCCATGAAGAATGAATTAGAGTTGCCCCTTTGTGATTGAGTCTCAATATCGAATATCGAATATATGTATCTGGATTTTTAAAGAGTGCATGGGTTAGCAAACGTTATGTAATTTCCCTCAAATCCCCTTGGCTTGTTTATTGTGTTTGTTTTCGTTACTTTTTTATTTTTGGTTGCGTGGTTTAAGATTTGTCTAAAAGTATAGCTGTAGAAAGAAATTGGTGAATTCACTATCTGTTCAGTATTCTGTATAATCCGTCTTTCAGAATATTCCATATTTTTCGGGTTTTAGAATATTGCATTTTTTTCCACCATTTCGCAATTCCACCATTCCATTATTCTGCCATTCTGCCTTAGGACAAAAGGATTCTCGGAATCGACCACATAGCAGGTGTGTTTTTTTTTAAATTGCACTCAAGGCCAGTCAATGCGGAGTCTGCATGTTGGCATCTCATCACGGAGTCACTAATAAAAAACCTCAAAAAGCATGTTGATGAGAGTTCGATTTGCTTGGATGATTTCACCGAACCGAAAACCATACCTTGTCCGGCTTCACAGTTTCTGCCGTGAATGTCTAAAAAAAAAACGCGCTTATGAGTCAGAGAGATGGTCAGTTTCGCTGCCCCAATGCCAGACACAAATGGCCTTCGCCGAAGGAAACAGATTCGATCAGTTACCGACCAGCTTTCTTCATAGCAGCTTACTCAGTCTTCTCCCAGTTCAACAAAGTGCGATAGTGGTGGGATCAGCTGCGGACTTTGTAACAAAAGAGCGCAGAAACAAGCTTACCTATTGTTTCGACTGCGAAAAGTTTCTGTGTAGTCACTGTGTAGTTGATTGTGTAAACGCTCACGAGCTGTTTAGAGATGACGCCCATCAGACAGTTTCGAGCATAAGATTAGGTAGCTTTCCTAAAGCAAAAGAAATTTTGCACCGAAAAGCACCACGAGAACGAAGTAAACAGATTCTACTGTCGCATCTACCAAACTTTTATTTGTCAAATATCCTTAACATGAATCACAAGACTCATGAAATTAAGCTTCTTGAAACTGCAGCGGGCCACTAGTTCATTAGTGTTTATTGTCATGTGTTAGCCCCGTTAAATAGAGTTGCTACCTACCTACCTACGTAGCGGTTGAAGCAAGAGTTAAAATTTTGGCGGGATTTGAGCCCGGGGAGTTGAGTCGATGAAGCAAAAACACCAGACATGCAGGGACATTATCCGTCAATTTGAGGAGAGAGCCGCCAATCTTGAAGGCTTGAAGGTACCATCGCATCTGCTAACGCGAGGTGGCTCAATTAGCCAAGCGAATGATCGCTGTGATTCACGAACGCAAGCACGATGAAATTGCTGCCCTCGAGAAAACACGCTTCCAGGCGCTTGGAAGTAGAGGGCGCAAGAAAGAACTGGTGCGGGAGAGGGAGACACGCGAGGGGAGAGGGAGTGCTTGCGTGGAAGGCCCTCGAAAATCGTTTCAACTCCCATTCTGTGAAAGCGGATATTTGCAATTGGTTGAGAGGATCCCGAGAGAAAAAGTAACCGCGCCGGGCGAGAAAACTGTCAATTAGTAAAACAAAACTGAACGCAGGGCTGGCGCTACGGCAAAGGGCTGATTTATTATAGGCCAATATTTCGGCTAACAAATAAATTAGCCTTCCTCAGGGCCAGAACTATTCCGAGGAAGGCTATTTTGTTAACCGAAATATTGGCCTATGATAAATCAGCCCTTTGGCAAAATGCCAGCCCTGCATTCAGTTTTGTTTTATTTTACACTTTAAGTGACGTCTGGCTACAGCATCTCTTAGAGATCCGGCAAAAGGAACCAGTCAGTTATATTTACGCGTTTTGATGAAACCTAGCATGTTTGGAAGGGAGATACACGAAAGGTTGTTGAACGATAGCGTGTGCGATAGGGGAAACTTACTGTCTTTATCGACGGTAAACAAGGGAATAAAGAACAAGCTCCGCATGTCATACAAATGAATACTCGATAAAACAGAGGTTACATCTCTATCATCACTATTTCTTATTTCCACAAATATCGAATTTTCCATCTCCAATTTGAAGCTCCTTTCCTGGAATCTCCTTAGTTTCAATGTTATCTTCGCTACGCCACTCAAAGTAGCGCGTTTATTGGAAGACTCGGATCACGTGTTCAGTCACGTGTTCAATGGTCACATGTGACGGAGCATCGCTGTAAAGTTTGAAACGAATGTGCGTATGATGTGTACTCAAATGGATTTTATTTTCTGGAAAGGAAGGCCAGAAATGTTTCTTCAGCTTAGCTTTAAATAATGATATGTTTTTATATGAAAACGAATGCAAGGCTTTTGATATATGTAGAGAAACAGAGATTCGGTCCAGTGTTCTCATGAAGTGTTCTATCAAGGAGGGTGGAGGAGGCGCTTTTTAAAGAGTTTTTCTTCTTCGTTTTCGTTTTCAAATTATTGTTCATGTTTTAACTAACATTATGAAATCCATTATACTCCTCTCAATAAACTAAGGAAAATGTTTATAAATTGTGAAAACGCGTCGTTTTGCTTTTGTACAGATAAAAAGGATGTAGCAAAAAAACGCATATAAGGTCGATCTAGAGCTCGGGGGTCGCGGAATTGTCTCTTTCTGTGTGCCCGGGGGTGGGGAATAGACCTCCAAGAAAGAAAAAAAATGGGAAATACCCGAGGGTGTGCGCGGGGAGGGGGGGGCATGGTTACAAGTAAAATTGAACCATGCATTACATAAACAAAATATTTCATAACCTTCTGATTTATCCGGATAAGCGGCGTTATTCTACCAAGTTCAGCTCTGCAGGGCACAAAATTAACTTTTTTCTCAAGGAGTCATCTGGCGCCTTAATTTCCCGAAGTGGTCGCCAAGCCCAAAAAGTTAGTAGCCAATTTTTTTTCGGAAACAACAACAAAAAAAAGCCATATAAAAATTGTATTTTATACTAATGCCAAATTACAAGGTTTGCTAGCTTTAGGAATATACCCAAACGTTTTTTCTCTAAAGAATAGCAAACATCACTTAATCAAGAACAAACAGAAACGAACATTGCCAAACTTTTATAGAAAGTTTATCATTCGTTGGATTTGTTCTGTTTTCCATCACAGACCATCCAGTTTGATGATCATGGATGTCCACTTAACTCAAAGACTGGCATATATAATTTACGTGCGCACTGTAAAATCAGCCACGTATATGTATGCCAGAAAGTCAGCCTAAAATCATAAAAATTTTCCAAACTGAATTTCAGAAACTTAAATTGACAAATCCCTAAATTATTGTTTCTAATATTAACTTAACGAAATATCTTACTGGACTTATATGCGACCTGCCATCACAACCGGAAAAACAATTCATGTCCCTTTCATAAATATTAACTTGCCAAATTTCCATAAATATGTCTATACACTGTCTATATAATTCAATTCAATATTTAGTAGCCAAGGATGAAAAAGTCACAGCAAGTAACGACTTGATCGGGATGAGTAATCATACAAACATATCCAACTCAGAGGCTCCTTGGTAGAAAAACGTAGTGGAGCATTACTTTACTACAACTACGAAATAGTAACAAGTTGCGTTTTTCCGGCAACTGCCAGAATGAAATAAACAGACCCTTTTTTGGTTTGTTTCAGCATCTACCAGAGTTATGTGAACTATATATTTAATGCTATTTTATTTCCTAGTCATTGCTTATTGGATTTAGTGTTCCAGCATCATATGTACCTTACTAACAAGGCGGCCATATTGAATTTATTACATTTAAGGAGTATTATTGGATGCCCAGGGGGCAGTCGCTCAGTATTTACGCGCGCTTTTCGGGCAAAAAGAGAATTACAATGTATATTTCTCGGCATAAAGGTGATCGTTATTACATCCAAACACGGCACAACGATCTTTTTTTCCCATTACAATCTTTTTCAAGGTAAACTTAAAGAAAAATTGGCCCGAGAAGCAGCCCATAATACTCCTTAAATCCAATTAATTCAATATGGCCGCTGTATCGGTAAAAAGGTCTATTATTTCTGCCAACAACTGAAACACCGGAATTCGCATAGGTGATAGCATGATCAGTAGTGATATTAAGAATAAATACTACGAGTGATATTTCTAAGTTGTTATACGTAATTTCACGAGCCGTTAGGTGAGTGAAATTTGAGACAATTTTGAAATATCACAAGTGGCATTTATGCCAAATATCACGTACAAATCATGCTAGTATTTGTTTATACTACTACCCACAAAAGGTTTGTAATTTTCACCTGTAGGTATTTCAAATTAAGCTGAAATACCACTGCTCTAAGCCAATCAAATTGCAGAAATTTCCCATTGTAGTAGTATAAACTCCATAGTAAAGCTAATGTTGTGAGCCCGCAATACGCTTTTTTGGTAAAAGGGATATTTCAATTCACAATATACAACGTTACTTTAGGAAAATCCAAGATGGCGGACGTTGACATGTTCACTTCGCGTTCGTGACGATTTTGTTACAAACGTTAGTCGTTCAAACCGATTCATCTACCTTCAACCTTTATTTAATCGCGCTTTACATAAAGGTAGGATGTACG